ATTATATATAAAGACACATCCCAGTCTGATCTCTCCTATCAATCCATCCCCTGACCGTATTATGAAGCTAATATAAAGTAAAGCCAAAATCCACCGCTTGCTATATAATCCTTGTCTAGCTTAGTGTATCCTCACCTCCCAATTTGACCAATGGATGAAATGTGCTCTTAAATTAACCATCTATACTGTGTACGTATAAGACATGTAGTTTTCATCAACAAATGTCCCTTCTCCTATCTTAGTAACACGTATGAGTTATGTTGACCATTTAATCCACCTCATGACATCACTTTGGGTTTATTTGTTATAGAAGGCTTCACGAGTTCACTTAGCATTTAATGTTATTGCATGCCAATTTGGCTTCTTCCATATTTCAATTAATTATTACAATTTCGTTTATTTCACTTGGTTGTGGAATGGTAGTCTCCACGCCAATTCGTTATCTTTTTAAACTTTTGTCTAAAAATTGAGTGTAACGGTTAGAATAGATTTGGCCAACAAAGGAAATTCGTATAGTATATCATTACTAGGTTACTTTTATTTAAATGCTATTTTTAAATACTAATATTGTTTGTTTAGTTAATAGTCATTTAACAATTTAGACTTAATGAGAAATAAGATAATCTCAAATTTATGTTACCGGCTAGACAGGGTTTTGGGGGTGTTACAAATGCTGCAAATTCGTGCGGACAACCAGAGGTCTGCCGAAGAGCTGCGTCAAGCTTTGGCGGCACAAAACCAAGCCCTTACGGCAGCAATAACGGACTTGTCAAACCGCATCAACACTTTCACAGCAACATCTGCCACCTCCTCTTCAACTACACGTTCAAACCAAACGCCACCCAATACTATCCATCAACCCCATTCGATGAAGTGCGATATGTCTACGTTTGACGGAACTAATGTCTTGGACTGGTTATTTCAAGCAGAAAAATACTTTGATTTTTGGGAAATTGCAGAAGAACAAAGAATTAACATTGCTAGTTTCTACATGATCGGCCAAGACTTATCTTGGTGCCAATGGATGCACAGAAACAAGCAAATGTCATCATGGAGGGCGTTCACCACCGCCATGGAGCAGAGGTTTGGTCCATCCACATATGTGAACCTCCGGGCAACGCTCTTTAAGCTCACGCAGAAAACCACGGTTGAGGCTTATCAGTCGGAGTTTGAAAACATAAGCAATTGGGTAACTGAACTTCATCCAGATGCTATGTTAGATTGTTTATCTCTGGTTTAAAACCCTTAATTCAGAATGATTTAGCGATACTCAAACCTGCTACCCTCCCGGAAGCTATTGTCATGGCCAAACTAATTGAAGAAAAACATCCAGATTCCAAGACATTCGGCCCTAAACCCACCTCCTGGAAACCACCTACTAGCGAGAATATCAACCCCACTTCATCTCGTGCAACTAACCAAATGCCTTTATTACCCCTCCCAGCACCCTCAAACCATGGATCAAAACCTTCTCTGCCAATCAGAAAGTTATCTGCGGCAGAAATGCAAAACCGACGAGCCCAAGGACTTTGCTATAATTGTAATGACTAATGAGAGGTACCGTCCTGGACACCGTTGTAAAACAAAGCCGTTTTTACTCCTGCTGGCGGACGAAACAGAGTGTGAAGAAGAAAGCGAACCTACCTCAGTTGAAGTTGCAGAGGTAGAACCAGAGGGAGTATTGACAGATCATACCCTAGAAATATCCTTCCATGCATTAGAAGGTATCCAGGGACCTCGTACATTCCGCTTAAAGGCATTCCTTCAGGGTCGTGAATTCACTATTTTGGTGGACACCGACAGCTCCCACAACTACCTCCAACCACGTATAACAAGGCATTTACACCTTCCTGTGGATAGATCAACCTGCTTCCAGGTTGCTGTTGGCAACGGTGAACGGATCCAAAGTGAAGGAACATGTACAGGAGTAACTTTCACTATGCAGGGAGCCGATTTTGAGGCAGACTTCCACATATTGAAGTTTAGTGGAGCTGATATCATTTTGGGGATCCAGTGGTTGGAAGGACTTGGAAAAATAGTCACTGATCACAAGCAGTTAACCATGGAATTTGAATATAAGGGGAGAAATGTAAAACTCATGGGAATTCCTACCTCTGGTGCTACTGCCATCTCATGCCAGCAATTGATGAGACTACAACGTAAAGGAACCATAAATCGAAGTTTTTTACTCATACACCAGCCCATTCCCTCTGAAAAAAGCCCTACCGACACTTTAACCCCACCAGCCATTCATGAAATCCTACAAGAATTTCATGATGTCTTTAACCTTCCCCACGGGCTTCCGCCTATCGGACAGTTCAACCACAAAATTAATCTGCTCCTCGACTCCAGTCCAGTGAATGTCAAACCATACCGCTACCCCCATTTCCAAAAGAATGAGATTGAGCGGCTTGTACAAGAGATGTTAAAGGATGGCATTATACAGCCCTCCACCAGCCCATTTTCTTCTCCTGTTTTGCTAGTACGTAAAAAAGACGGGACATGGAGATTTTGTATTGACTACCGTGCCCTCAACGCCACTACCATCAAAGATCGTTTCCCCATGCCTATCGTGGATGAGTTGTTGGACGAACTACATGGGGCAGTGATATTCTCAAAGCTGGATTTGCGCAGTGGGTATTACCAAATTCGGGTCAGTCCACCAGATGTGCCTAAGACGGCTTTTAGAACCCATGAAGGTCATTACGAATTTCTAGTAATGCCGTTTGGGTTGACTAATGCTCCTGCTACGTTCTAAGCTACCATGAATACAATTTTTAAACCATTTTTGCGAAAGTTTGTGCTGGTTTTTATAGATGACATTCTTGTGTTCAGTTGCTCTCTGGCAGATCACCTTCATCACTTGCATATCGTTCTCAACACACTTCGTCAGCACCGACTCTTTGCCAAACAGAGCAAGTGTAGCTTTGGGAAGGGGAAACTTGAGTATTTAGGCCATTTTGTATCAGCTGAAGGGGTGGCTATGGATCCCGCCAAGATTAGCGTTGTGACAAACTGGCCCCGACCTAAATCAGTCTCTGAAGTTCGTGGTTTTCTTGGCCTCACAGGCTACTATCGCCGTTTTGTACGAGGGTATGCAACCTTGGCTGCGCCGCTGACCGAGCTGCTCAAGAAAGGAGGATTGAATGGGGAATAGCAGCTGAGAATTCTTTCCAGAAGCTGAAGGCAACTATGACAGAAACACCTGTTTTGCATCTTCCAAATTTTGAAATACCGTTCACAGTCGAAACAGATGCATCAGGATGTGTTGTTGGTGCAATTTTGTCACAAAAACATCATCCTATTGCTTATTTTAGTAAGAAATTGCCAGCCCGTTACTCGGCCTCCTCCGCTTATTGTCGGGAGATGTATGCGATCACTGCAACAGTCAGTAAATGGCGTTCCTATCTACTGGGACGACCTTTCACTATTCTAACTGACCACCAAAGTCTACGTTAGTTGTTGTCTCAAACCATTCAAACGCCAGAGCAGCAACGATGGTTAACTAAGCTCCTGGGCTTTGAATTTCACATTGTCTACAAAGCTGGCATTGATAATCGAGGGCCTGATGCACTCTCGCGCTGGACAGAAGAAGCAACATGAGGACTCTCAGCATTCACAATGATCACAACCACCTTCATTTCAGACCTCAAGTAAGCCTTAGTCGTTGATACCACAGCCCAAAATATCATCAGGTCACTGCCAACCCAAACACCTGCTGATTCTCACTTTTCCTTCAAACAAAAACTGCTGTATTATGATAATCGGCTCTATGTTCCAATGGCTAATGGGTTGAGGTCAAAGTTGGTGGAGATATTTCATGGGTCACTGGTACGGGGACATTTAGGGGAACAGAAAACCTACACCAGACTCACTACCTCTTTTTATTGGCCAGGGATGCGTAAAGAGGTGCACCATTACATCAAACGTTGCTCAGTTTGTCAGCAAATTAAACCGGAAAATTTTCATCCGAAGGGTCTTTTGCAGCCGCTCCTCATCCCCGAGCAGGTTTGGGAGGATATATCCATGGATTTCATCACATCCTTACTGATGATAGGTGGAAAATGTGTGATATGGGTCATTGTGGATCGTTTGTCTAAGTACAGTCACTTCTGTTCTCTGCCTGACCATGTGACAGCCCCAAAATTAGCTGAGTATTTTATTCAAGAATACGTTCGGCTTCATGGGTTCCCACGGTCTATCATCATAGATCGTGATCCTCTTTTTCTCAGCACATTTTGGAGAGAACTTTTTCGCATACAAGAGACGACACTTAAACCAAGTACGGCTTATCATCCGCAAACAGACGGTCAGACGGAGGTCGTGAATCGTTGTCTTGAAATGTATTTACGGGCCTTCGCTAGTGACAATCCAACCGGATGGGTACGCATCTTACCGTGGGCTGAGTATTGGTACAACACAAGCGTTCATAGCTCCACTGGATTTCCTCCCTTTCAAGTTGTGTATGGAAGACCCCACCCCCACTGGTTAGCTACAGTGCAATCAACACTTCAGTTGATACCTTGGATCATGCCCTACTCGATCGAGAAGCACTCCTCACTGATCTCAAGGTTAATTTACAGCGGGCGCAAGCACGGATGTGTGACCAAGCTAACAAATCACGACGTGACAAGGAATTTCAGGTGGACGATTGGGTCTATGTTAAACTACAACCATACCGACAAAGTTCAGTAAGTCGACGCATGAGTCACAATCTAGCTAAACGTTACTTTGGGCCCTATCGCATCGTCTCAAGAGTGGGACGTGTGGCATACAAGCTGGATATGCCAGAGGAATCCCGTGTTCCACATCTCTGTTTTGAAGTTCTGTCCCAATCCCAAAGACGTCACACCCAATATGTTGGAAATATATATAGAGTATTTCAAATAAAAACTTTTGATTTAATTAGTGTCTAATTTAATTAATGACCGAGCACTTATTTGACTAACTGGAGTGAACCGTTTTCTAACGTGCATGTTTGCTAACGGAGTAATAGATGGCTGAGCTTCTTTCTCTCCTATAATTTTGGATCAGTAACCAATTATTTTTTCCAACTCCTTTTCTATTAATAAACAAGAAGCTCTGTATTTTAAGATTACCATCGAACAAAACTACTCTTACAAGCTTTTCTCTCCAAATACTTTACACACAGAAAATGGGTTCTTTTCAAAGCTTATGCTGGATTATTAATTTGATGATTTCCCTCGTAGTTCTGGTTCCGACTATTAGTCGAAGGGCTCGTTTAATCCTGGGGGAAGATTTCCGTTCACCGGAAATACTTTCAGAGGACAGCGTTTACGCGACTCGAGCCACGGTGTTTCTTGTTGTTATGTTTTGCAGGTCTTTCTCCGTGTTGGCGACAAAAGTGTTTTGGACCTGCGGTAATAAGATTAGAACAAAGTGCTGCCATGGAAGAACTAAAGAAGATGATACCCAGGAACCGCCATGCCGCCGCAAACTGCCGAAGAGGAAGGATGAAGCTCTTAGCATGAGTAATCTCGTGTTTCAGTCGGCCAAACTGGGACAGCCAGGAGCAAGTGAAGAAGTCAAATTCCCAACAATCTCTGAAAGTATTTGTGGACGAGGACTGGTGATGCGTTCTATGTCCAGCCTGCGATTCCAATCAAATGCGTTGCTTCAATCCTGGTTTACAGGTTCCTTGAAAACTTTGGTATCTCAAATAATTATTTTAGTTAGTGCACTTCCGTTGCTTCGTCAATCTGCCTGCACTAGTATATTGCTATTTATGGTGTTTTTAATTGTTACCATATTCACAATAAGCCTTTGTTTAATCTCGCTTATTATAATTTATGTCAGTTTATGTGATAAAAAGACAACTATGAGAAACAATAACCCACTTAAATCAAAATTAAAATTGATTAAAAGTGATGAAAATTTTATTGCGGTTGTTTTTCAAAGTTGTAAAATAAATGATGTGAATGAATGGATGGTAGACTCCGGGGCTACCAAGCACATTTGTAAAAACAAAAGTGCTTTTACCTCCTATAGTGCCACTATGGGAGATGATGAAGAGCTCGTGTACCTAGCGGACTCAAAAACCGCAAAGGTGCATGGTAAAGGGAAAGTTCTTATAAAACTCACATCGGGGAAAACTTTATCACTAAATGACGTACTTTATGTGCCTGAGTTTCGGACTAATTTAGTTTCTGTTTCTCTCTTGGTAAAAGCTGGGATTACAGTATCTTTTGATTGTAACAAAATTGTTATGACCAAAAATGATGTTTTTGTTGGCAAAGGCTATTGTAAGAATGGACGTTATGTGCTTAGTATTCCGAAATTAATTCGTGAAAATGCTTCTTATTTGATTGATTCATATGATGTGTGGCATGCAAGATTAGGACATGTGAGTGACTCTTATATCAATTTGTTGCGTGATCGTGGTTTGATTTCTAGTGGAAAGAAATTGACACTAGAAAAATGTGATATTTGTGTTGAATCAAAACAAACCAAAAAATCATGTCCTACCACACATAGGGAATCAGAACTGCTTGAGTTAATTCACACGGATTTGGGTGATTTAAAAAATACCATGACAAGAGGTGGTAATAAATTTTATGTCACCTTTATTGATGATTTTTCGAGATACACTAAAGTTTATTTGCTTAAAAGTAAAGATGAGGCTTTTGATAAATTTTTAGTGTATAAATCCGAGGTGGAAAATCAATTGAATAAGAAGATTAAGAGAGTGAGATCGGATAGAGGGGGCGAATATATTTTAATAAATGATTTTTGTGAGAGGGAAGGGATTATCCATGAGATAACTCCTCCGTATTCGCCCGAATCAAATGGAATAGCTGAAAGAAAAAATAGGACATTAAAAGAAATGATGAATGCTCTTTTAATTAGTTCTGGTGCTCCTGATAATCTGTGGGGGGAGGCTATTCTTTCTGCTTGTCACTTACAAAACAGAATTCCTTATAAGCATAATAAGAGAACACCCTATGAATTGTGGAAAGGTCATGCGCCTAATTTGAAATATTTGAAAGTGTGGGGGTGTTTGGCTAAAGTCTTATTGCCTGATCCTAAGAAGAGGAAAATTGGTTCTAAGACATCTGATTGCATATTTATTGGTTATGCTGAATGTAGTGCTGCTTATAGATTTCTTGTTTTGAAAAGTGATGTGCTTAATTGCAATACTATTATTGAAACAAAAAATGCTGAATTTTTTGAGAGTGTGTTTCCTTTAAAGCCAGAATACAAGACCGTTGTGCCATATCGTGAAAGTGAGCCATTAAAAGAAAATACTTTTAATGATGAACCCTCTAATTTGAGAAGAAGTAAGAGACCAAGGATAGAAAAATCTTTTGGAAATGATTTTTATACATATCTTGTTAATGATGAACCTTTTACTTATTCACAAGCTATTTCATCAAAAGAGGCTCCTTTTTGGCTTGAGGCAATTCAAAATGAAATTGAATCTATTCAGAAAAATAAAACTTGGATTTTAACTGAATTGCCTAAAGGGTGCAAACCAATCGGATGTAAATGGATTTTTAAAAAAAAATTTAATCCGGATGGTTCTATTGACAAATATAAAGCGAGGCTTGTGGCAAAAGGTTTTTCTCAAAAACAAGATGTTGATTATTTTGATACTTTTGCACCGGTAACGAGAATATCTTCCATTAGAACTTTAATTGCCTTGGCTTCTATTCACAAACTTCTTATCCATCAAATGGATGTTAAAACGGCATTTTTAAATGGTGAATTAGAGGAAGAAATTTATATGATGCAACCGGAGGGTCATGTAGTTTCTGGACAGGAACACAAAGTGTGTAAGTTGGTCAAATCTTTATATGGTTTGAAACAAGCTCCTAAACAATGGAATGAAAAATTTGATGAAGTATTATTAGCTCATGGTTTTACCTCACTTGAAGTAGATAAATGTGTATACACTAAAATAAAAAATGGTGTGTGCATTATTATTTGCTTGTATGTGGATGACATGCTAATATTTAGCAGCAACATTGAGTTAATAAATGAGACAAAATCATTTCTTGCTTCAAAATTTGATATGAAAGATTTGGGTGAAGCAAAACTGATTTTGGGTATTAAAGTCATAAGGAAGGATGATGGTATTATACTATCTCAAGAGCACTATGCTGAAAAACTTCTAAAGAAGTTTGGACATTTCGATGTCAAACCTGTGGAAATCCCTTATGACTCTAGTACACATTTGAAAAAGCATAGAGGTGATCCTGAGGCTCAATATGAATATGCACAAATAATTGGGAGTTTATTACACTTGATGAACTATACGAGACCCGACATAGCTTATGCTGTCGGAAGATTGAGCCGATATACTCATAACCCAAGTGGGGATCATTGGACCGCGTTGAGGCGGTTATTGAGATATTTGAGAGGTACCATGAATTATGGTATATTTTATAGAGGTTTACCCGCTGTACTAGAGGGATATAGCGATGCTAACTGGGTCTCTGACTCAGATGAGATTAAATCCAATACTGGATATATATTCACCCTTGGAGGTGGTGCTATTATGTGGAAATCAACTAAACAATCTCTCATTTCTAGATCCACTATGGAGTCCGAGCTTATAGCTTTGGAAGTGACTAGTAGTGAGGTGGAGTGGTTGAAAAATTTCTTAGCAGAAATTCCGGTTGGTACAAAACCAACACCGTCAGTGTCTATTCTTTGTGATTGCCAAAGTGCAATAAATACTGCTAAGAAAATGTGTTATAATGGGAAGAATAGACACATTCGTTTAAGACATAAAGTCATTAAACGGTTATTAAAGAATGGAATTATTTCCATTAATTTTGTGAGGTCAGAAGGAAATTTAGCGGATCCTTTGACTAAAGCCCTAGGACGAAAAATGATAAGTGAAACCTCGAGGGAAATGGGACTTGTGTCACTTGATTACAAATAGGGATGGTAACCCAACTTGTGTGATTGGAGATCCCATGAAGCAAGTTCATATGGGTAATAACAAGTCTTCTATTTGTTCTGCTAGCCTTATTACAAGTCCCTTTAATCATGTATATATGTTGATCAATGAACAAATAGCAGGGCAGCCTGATTCTGTATGATCTCGTAAACTCTAAACACCATCCCCTTCCCTACCATACTTCTCTTAGGAGGCTTCCACCCTCACAAAGTGGTGTAAATTTAATTAGCACCAGGTTCCTATCATAAGAGGTCTCTTTCGGTCCATGGTAGTCTGTGAGGCTAACTCAATATCCTCTTTCTGTGTGAAAAGCTATTTGCAACATATCCTCTTTCTCCGTTGCAGAAGGTTTACTAAGGGTCAAACTTATTGTTTGTTCAAAGTGCACTGAGCCATTTTCTTCAAAATAAGCCCGAACCGAAGTATGTGGGTATGCATCTTATGAAAATTCAATCTCTTATATATCAACAATTATGTTTACAAATAAATAGAGGATGAAATCATTTTGGAAAGTTTCAGTGCTAATACTCTTCATTCATTTATCATTAAGGTGCTTATTCCGATATTGAAGAAGAAAGTTGGGATGGGGCGCAATAACCTCGACTAAAACCTAACCTGACTACCAACGAGTAATGGTTTCTTCTATTGTTAGAGGAAGCTCTTGTTCAGACGATAAAGGGTAGAGAAATAAAGAATGACAGACAAGAGACGGTGGATTTAACAGTGTTTGTTTAAAAAATAATTCTCTCCGGTTCATTATATTTTTGTGACTTTCACTAAAAGTTTGGATTATTAGGGTAAAAATTTGAAGTAGGGATTATTTTTGTATAATTGGTAGAAGTAAGGATTAATCTTGTCATTTTTGCCATTTATCTATGAGGCACCGTAGCACTCAAAATAATAATCTATTGGTAGTATTAAAATATTCACCTCTGACCGTTACCAAATTCTTAATTATGTCCTCTATGTTCCAGTTCTTCATCATAGTTTTTTTTTTTTTGAAAAACATCATAGTTTATTATCTCTGTTCTTGATAATAATTGTGTTCGTAAGTGAATATGAGTGTTGCCAGTTTAAGTTCGGAGACAAGTAATATGTTGTACAAATACAAATGTTGTACAATATCACAAATTATAAGTGAATATGAATATAACAAATTAGACAAATTTGGAAATTATTCATTACTACTTTGTGGTAATGAATAATCAACCACTAAGTTGTTGTAGGTTAAGTTCAAAACTTAACCTACCTGAACATCAACCACACAGTTTTTAATTTAGAGAATATTACCCGAAATAGGACTAAAAAGGTTTGAAAATTCCAAAATAGGACTGTCATATTTTTATTCCCAAAATAGTACTAATTACTGCCATATTTTGGCAGTACCAGACTTCAAACATGGCAGTATTTTCCAAACCTGGCAGTAATTACTCCTATTTTGGGAATAAAAATCATGACAATTCTATTTTGGAATTTTCAAACTGTTTTAGTCCTATTTCGGGAACTTTCCCGAAATCTACAAGCAAGTCAACATTGAACAAGTTTTATGGGACGGAAGGAGTAATACTCATGGAAAAAGCCTAGATTATTTTGAAAAAATATATTTGTCATAAAAAATCTATTTATTATTTAAATAGCATGAATGTGAATGCTCTTAAACACAAATAAACGTTTCTAGCCGTGACGATGAGAGACCACACTTGGAGTTTGTTTGTTGGCCCCATGTGTTTCGACTTATTAGCCAGTTTTTTCACCAAACATGTTACTTTTAATTTCACACACTCAATTGTTTAATAATACGAAAATTAAAATTGAAGTTAGTTTTTGTGTTGAACTGGGTGAAATTACTGTAGAGAATCATTTTAATTATTTTGATATAATTTGGCGCAAAAATTAAAAAGCTATAGCACTTAAAACAAAAAATGGTTTTTTATATCTTGGGCCCCACCATTACCTCTCTCTTCCATTAGCTATAGCAACTCATTAGTTTGCATTGCTTCCTCCTCGCATAAGTCTACGCATAAGTAGCCAATTGGATTGGCACTTCTTATTAAGGGCGGGTTTGCAACAGCTTTAAAAAAAGCAATTCTCAGTTTTTGACTTTAAAAAGCACTTATTTATCAAACACTGCCAATTTTTTACTTTTCTTGACTTTCGTGTCAAAAGTGTTTTTCCCATTTTTATACACTACCAACTTTTACTTTTCAAAATCACTTTTTTTCTCAAACACTATCAACTTTTACAACTAATCACTTTTTCCAAATCACCCCAAAAGTGCTTTTTTTAAAGCAGAAGATGTTGCAAACACTCCCTAACTATGATTTGGGTAGCACTATTTTGGTAAAATACTTTTAACCCGACCCTATTTTCGTAAATAGTTTTTTATTTAACATTATTTCGGGAAAATTTCAAAAAAATGAATTTAATTTTTTCATAATTCAACAAATTAAACTAATTCATTTTTCAGCAAAAAATTAATCAATTTCAACAAATTGAACGGATTTTATTAATTTCAAAATTATTAAACACGCTCTTACACATGGTGACATAGGCGAGTGAATTACTTCCATTATTAGTGGGTGGGGCAGCGGGGGTTGGGGGTGGGACACTACAAACAAATGAAGTAAAGCGTTGCGTATTTGGATGAGTTTGTAGCAAAATCATTCAGAATCACACAAACGGGTGAACGGAACCAAATTCTTGTTGTGGCTAATAAAGGGATGGACCCCTCACCCCTTTGTCATAACCCGTCTCCATTTCTTGTTTAAGCTATGATCATTTTTCCTAAAACCGGAGAGCATTTTACTAATATACTAGCGTAACACCCGGGCATGTCCCGGTACTGTTAATTTGATATGGATCAATTGAAAATTTCTAATAAACATTGTGAATTATTCATAGGATATGATCAAAAGTTTGACTATATATACTATCCTCTGTTCTTTGAAAATTGCAACAGTTTGAATTTCATGTTTGCAAACGCACAACTTTGACTGTAATTATATTTATTACGTATTAGTAAATATTAAAAAAGGTTAACATTTTGAAAATTCAAATTAATAGAAATTTAATCATTTTATACATAATATTTTAGAAAAAGTTACATTATATATATATATATATATCATTAGAAAAACATAGTCAAAGTAAGCTATATACTCAAAATTGGGTAGCTAGCATATCTACAGTCAAGCTCAGATCTGCGGGTATCATTTTATTTGAAGAAGGGCTTATTCCAAAAAATTTTAATCTCTCCGGTAACAAGCCCCAAATGATAAGATGGAATAGGCCTAATACCTGTTTGAGTCGATGCGAGCTACTCAACAGATAAAGCTTATGGAGGAGCGATTCTGAGGGATAGGAAGGGCGAGCTCATCCTTGCTCTTAGCTTTCCGATTGTAGCTCGGTCTTCTCTGGAAGCTGAGCTTCGTGCTATCTTCTATGCTGTTCGATGGGTAGCTGCGGCAGGGTATGGAGATTTTTCGATGGAGACTGATGCGCTATTGGCACTGGATTATCTTGAGGGACATAAGGGAAGAAGATGGAAGGATGAGATTCAGGAAATTGCACAGATCCGAATTAGGCAACAGTTGGCTTTTGGGCATACTAAACGAGAGGGGAACTGGGTCGCGCATCATTTGGCCCGAGTCCAGACTGATAGCCCAATTATCTATAACAGGCCTGGTTTGCTTCCAGTTTTTGCTAGAAGAGCTTTTTGGATGGATTATTTTGGTATTCCTTCATTTAGAATGTAATTTTCTTCATATTCTTTCGGGTAAGGTTTGGTCCCCTGGAATTTTGTATTGCATGGATTTATAAATAAAATCTGGCGAATGTCCCCCGGCATTTGCCCCACTGATTTTGGTGGTTGACCTTCCGGGGTAAAAAAAAAACATAGTCAAAGTAAGCTATGTAAACAGTGCATGCAACTTTTAAAAAAACGGAAGAAGTATTTCTTTTATGAACTAACCACCCCATGAAATACAGGTGAGGAATCACCATGTTTTGGAGAATGATTTTGTGGTTACATTGTGGTTTATGTGCTTATTGTTGTAATAGTTAATAATTATTTATAGGGCTAATTATATGATGAGGGGTGATAGGAAGAGATGAATTGGAATTGGGGATATGTGGAGTTCACAATTTTAAATTATTTTGGATATTCACGTGTATTATCGATGTTATACGATTAGAGTGTGTATTAGTCTCATTATTTAAATAATTCAATGTTGTACAATTATATTGGAAACTAAATTAATATTGTATTTATTCCAAGAATTATACTCTATTAATATGGTTGTATGAAGAAGTTGTTCTATTCGTCTGATATTGATAATATTTAGGAAAAATTGATAAGAATAATCCAACCTTTCACTGGTCTTCTCATAATAATCTCACCTTTAAATAATCTCAAAATAATCCCACATTTGCACCTCATCTTCTTTCATTGGACCCTGACCAAGTTTTTTACCTTTTTTTAAAAATCTTATATAAATAATCTCACATTTATAAGGATATAATTAAAAAGTGAAAGGTGAGATTATTTGTATTATTTTCAAAGAAAGAGTAAAAAACATGGTCAGGGTCCAATGAAAGAAGATGAGGTGCAAAAGTGAGATTATTTTGGGATTATTTAAAGGTGGGATTATTATGAGAAGGCCAGTGAAAGGTGGGATTATTCTTGTCAATTTTTCCTAATATTTATGATTTGAAAATTTTAAGACCCCATGTGATCTGGTCTGATCTTGTATGATCCCGTGGTACGAATCTTTCTGATCTAAATCTTCTAATCTGATCGAACTGATCTGGGTTTTTCTGATTTTTATCTGATTTGAATCATTCTGATCTGATATAAAAAATTATGTGATTGACTATTTATTAGTATTATTAAGTTATTATTGTGATTATCATTGTCATTATTATCCATCATATTTATAATTATAATTATGACTATAATTACAATTATAACTATAAATATAATTATAAGAGGGTTTTCCTAAAATATTACTAATACAAAAGTCATGAACAAAAATGTGACTTGGTAACTTATTGGTGAAATTTGTGCGGTTCGAAATTATTCCTGCTAACATTGTCTCAATTTGTCATTTCGCTCTGTCCCATACTAAATTTAGTGAAATTTGTGCGGTTCTAAATTATTCTAACTTTATTCTTTATCAATTCAGTATGAATCACGTATAACCACTTTTATTGATATGCATGTTACTCCCTCTTGTGCCATTGTTAGTGGGGCGTAGGGAGTAATACATTTAAAAAAAGATTTGTTTTTTCGCCTTCCCTTTCTCCCAATGAGTAGTGGTGCATGTAGTGAACAACAATGATGAACCGAGCCAACCTATATAGATTAAATATTTTAGTAGTCGTGATAGTAGAATTTTTATTAATCAACAGAACTTTTTAATTAGCTTTGCTGTATTTTAGTAGGAGTAATATATATATATATATATATATATATATATATATATATATATATTTGCATATTTATATGATATTAATGTCACATGAAAGATCATAAAAAATTATGATTTTTGGTATGTAATTTTTTTTGTAAAAATTGAATTTTACATATAAAAGTTAAATCACTTTTAAAAAGAGAGATTTTTTCTCCTTCCCTTGCTCCACATCAGACGTGATGCACATGAGAGAAATAATAGGGATGAACCGTGAGTTAATTGATTGATTTTGTTGTAGTCACAATAGAATTTGGACTGTTCAATAAGAAGTTGACACATCATTGATTTTAAACCAACTTTACTATATAATACGAAGTATAAAACAATATATAGATATTTTCTATTTTATATATATGATATTGGTGTCATATGGAAGATCATAAAAAATTATGAATTTTGTTATATTTTTTGTAAAAATTGAATTCTAAATATAAAAGTTATATCACTTTAAAAAAGTGAGATTTTTTCTCCTACCCTGGCTCCAAATCACCGGTGATGCACTCATGCACAAGAGAGAAATAATAGGGATATTAACCGTTAGTTAATTAATTGATTTATTTGAAGTGATAATAGAATTTGATTTGTCCAATAGAAAGCTGACACATCATTGATTTTTAACTCAACTTTACTATATAAAACAATATAGATTGCGATACTATATTATATTAGTGGAATAGCCCAAACCTAAGTTGCACGGAAACGCGAAAATCATGAGGAAACGGGAAACGGGAAACGTCAACTTTTGCTCAAAAAAGGCTTATTTGGAGAGTTTCCAAAGAGTTTCCGAGAGTTTCCGAAACGGGAAACGTACTCTTTCCCGAGAGTTTCCGTGCTACCTAGGCCCAAACCAATTCTAAACTGTCAGAAAATCTATGGAGAAAACAACGTGATGCGAAAACTTTGAGGCTAGAGCCAACGCTAAGAAAAACCCTAGGTGGCGAATTGCTGGACAAATCTAATCTCCTAATTTTCTCTTCTCCGATTGGGAACGGTCTTCGATGATGACGACATTCTCTGGACGGTAACGAATCAAGGGTTTTCTAATTTTATTGCTCTTTTTTATTTCTACTTTCTAAGGTTTCGGACCATGCCTTCTAACACCTAGCTGAAACGATAGTCAGTTGTTATACCATGGGAACAACCCATGGTGAGCATGGTGCTCTGATAGCTGAAACACGCGGGGACAATTGTTTTTGTCTCAGTAGTAGATTGATGTAACTCGTTTGTAAAGAAATATAACTCACGTTGATATGACATGTAACTGCATGCAAATCGAAATATATATAACTTGTTTAATACAGACTATAAGAAATAAAAGATTGATTTTAGCATAAACAACGAAAAAAGTAGTCTAATTGCTCAATTACTTTACGTAAATAGTGAATATGTTTTGTTTTTTAATATTAAGGGCGTAAAAATGTTTTTTGAAAATCATTTTTTGCCAAAAAAAATCCTTTTTTGAAAAAAAAAACTGTTTTTTGTTTCAATAGCAAGAATTTATGTTGTGATGCAACTCGCGCTATGGAAACTGTAACACACATTGATGGAAAATCTAATTTAGGTATATGCAAAATGTAACTTATTGAGACAAACCAAAATGTAACTGGCACATAGAAAGATGTAACTCACGCACAAGAAGATATAACTCGCGCATAAGAAGATGTAACACCATATACTATCAAATGTAACTCCAAAAGTTGTCTATAAACATAACTCAAACATATGAAAAATCTAATCTCATGTTTTATCAAATTTAAATCGCAAAAACAAATTTAATGTCTTAAAAACACTAACTACATACAAAAGAGATAAGAAATATATTATTTTTTTGCAAAGAGATAACAAATATATTATAGAAAAAAGTGTATGAAAATGAAATACTCCGTATATTTTACAAAACAAGTGTATAAATGTAAGAAAAATATGTTACTCCGTATAACAAAAGGTAAGTTACGACTGGAGAGTAGCGAAATTTTAGAGAGCCGGCCCTAGGGGAAACCCTAGGCGGCCATCCCGAACCTCCTTCAAGATCTGATTTTCAATATTTTCTTTTCCAATCAGTAAAAAGTTTTGGAAGATGGTGACATTCTCTATGCAGTGAAAGATCGAATCAAAGGTTTTTCAATGCTTCCGCTCTTTTTTAATTTCTACTTTTGAGGATTTTGGTCTGGTTTCTTCATTGGCCGAGATTTTTGTCCGCTTCATGTGAGCGTGTGGCGTGTTATTCTTCTAGCAATGTCTAGAGGTTGTGTGTTTATAATCGGTGTAATCGATCTGGTGAATTTTCGTTGTTCATGGTTGGTAAAGCTTTTTCAACCTTGTTGTTCCGATGCTTCAAATACTCGCCTACCACCTGAACCACCGCCTCGCTCTGTGAAGAAGAAGAAGATGATCAATTGGATCTCCTTTTCAGTGGCTGGTCAAACCGATGCTTCAGAAAATTTCTGCTCGACTGATTTTCCTTTTTTGGTTGCTGGTCAAATCAATTCTCCCTTTCCGGTGGCTGGTGAAGTCAGATCTTTTAGTTGTAATTTTTTATTTTCTCTTTGGAGTAGCAAGAAGAGTAGCAAGGCTGTTAGACTAGACTACATTATTGCGGGGTTAGCGATCTGGAAGGACTCATTGAATCTGTTCCGTTCTATGTCTCATCCCATTGTAGCCTTAGGCTATTCATTGTCTTGTATCTTTGCTATCGTTTAATAATAAATTAGTTATTTGATTTTCAAAAAAAAATGTAAGAAAAATCTCACACACACACAAATCGGTAGTAATTTCTGTTGAAGAAAAAAGTAATAAAAAAACCAGTGTATGATTATTAATGCAATATACTTATTTTAGGTGGATTAATAAAATTTTGTAATAAATTTGTAAATAAAAAAATTTAATTGATCAATTATAATTTAATTAGCTAAAAATAAAGATAAGTAAAATCACAATTAAATTTATAATATTTTGATGGAGGGGAGAAAACAATTGAAGAAAATAAAAAAAGAAATAAAGAGAGAGAAATAACATATCTTGAGAAGTGAAGATCTTGAAGGAAAAGAAAGTGGAAGATTTGAGGGAAAAGAAACAAAAACCTCCTAGCTAAATAGAACTCATGGATAATCGGGTATCCAAAGTATATAAAATGGGAGAGATTGAGCTTAAATGGAGAAGATGAATGTGTAATGTATTATTATGAATAAATATGGAATTAGAGTTACAATGTCTCCAATCTCCATAGAGACTATATATAGGAGAACGGGCCAAACCGCTAATATGGGCCCGATAGGCCCAACTACATAAAAATGCTAATCTAGTAGATACAAATACATATTGAACTGTACAATAATATGAATAATAATAACCACTAAGCGTGTGTGGGCCGCTGTTCGGGCCAATAGTCGTGACACCCGGGGGTCCGAGTCTATATTAAGGGTGGACTCGGTTCGGGCCGGGCCCGGTTCGGGCCTTGAACCGGCCGGGCTTCGGTTCAAGGTAGGGGAGGCCCGGAACCGACCCGGGTAACCCCCGGGTCCGGTTCGGGCCGGGCCGGGCCCGGTTCGGTTATATATATATATATATATATATATATATATATATATATATATATATATATATATATATATATATATATATATATATATATATATATATATATATATATATATATATATATATATATATATATATATATATATATATATATAGGGTACGGTTCCGGTGAGAAAGGAATCCCAGGAGAGGAAAAAAGAATGAAATTTGACCATGGATTTATTTGATCGGATGGCTATAGTTGGAGTGGAATTAAAACTTCCATCCACTTATTATGGCAAAGTGGAGGAACTTTAAAAGGTAATGTTTCATTTTAATAAATACATAGGGTTTAAAGGGTAATATTACAAGAGATTTGTTACACGCATGCAGCTTATTATTTTCTCCCTGGTGGTAGTTTCCATATTGATTAAGATCTCAATGTTGGAGAACAAGTCAAGTGCATTAATTACTGATATGGTGAAAATAATACGAGTATATGAAAAGTGCAATGCTTTGAGTACTAAAGTGCATGGCATATCATACATATGTGTAGACCTAATAGATAAGCGGTTGAAAATAGGTATAATGCATTATATGCATTGAAAAGTGATAATATTATTGAATAATGTGCATGCCGCTGTAATTTTATACCATATGCATTTGGTTTAGTAGATATGTGCACATTAGATTAATATGCCGATGGAGCTTAATTGTTTACATACTTAAGTGCACTTTTATATGTTTGCTACAATAGTCAATATATTATGCACTTTCATAAATTATGTATTGCAAAAGTGTGTCATGCACCTTATACATACTATTATGCACTATATGTTAAATTAGGCATGTCTAAATTTACAAGTTGGTATATATTAACAATTTGATGTTCTTTAATATTCTAAAAAATATTCACATAATAATGATATTTATTTCAATAGTATTTGTTTTTAAAGTACATAAATATCAAAAGTGCATAATTTGAAATTTTGAACAATAAATTATGATGTTAATCAAATTCATACGTGTCCCTATGGATCCTATTAAAATTTGAAATTAATAGCTACACGTAAAAAAAATAAAGAATGAAACTATGACAATAGAAACAAATAATAAACAAACAAATAAATCAACAGGACGCATTGTATTTATGTACTGCACATGACAATTGTAAAAAACGATCAAAGTAGTGGAGCTAGTGGAGTTACTACATTTTCGGAACTTAATTTAATGGTAATTAATGTATATATGAAATGACAAAATACCCATTACACATGTACACGAGTGTTTGAAAAAACGTATAAATCTAACGGTTGATATCTATTCTTTTTTACTCTCCTAAGATTAAATTCTCACATGAACCTAAATCTATATATATATATATATATATATATATATATATATATATATATATATATATATATATATCTAATGAGAACACCCCTTAACGTGAGAACGTGAGAACATATCGTGGCCTCACATCTCATCAAACGTACGGTTAGAATTGGGGAAGTCCACAATTTTATGCTGAACCGCGTCACACATACACGCAGCTCACAATCCATTTTGTGCACGCGTGGGTTCGTTTAAGGGTACAATTGACAAATCACAATGAAAGATACGGCGTGTATTCATGTGGTACCGTTTTATTTTTTCCACTTCCCGAAAGAATCGCCATAATCACGCAAGCTTCCTTTCATAAAAAACCTGACAAAAATAAAGAGGCTCTTATATGGTAACTACCCCAAAATTGATAATCGGGGATTTCAATTTTGGTTTCCGCGGTCGAGAAGAAGGAAGAAGTAAGTTGCAGAGAGAACAACTGTAGGTGAACGGCGGCAATGAGTTCTGTGCAAGAAGAGTTCCTATTGATGAATCAGACCTCAACTAATGAGCAAGGTATGTATTCGGCCTACCAGATGAAGTTAATGTGCAGATACTTCAACCCTAAGTGGTTGTAATGGTTGACCTTTGGGTCATTTTTTCAATTGCATGCGTGTAGTGTTTGTTGTATTTGTAATGGGGCATTGGGCTAAGTTTTAAGGAACCAGATTTCAATTGGTTGTGATATATGCACATTGAGTTTCGGAAAGGGATGCTTTGCTATGAACTAAATACTAATGTGCATTTGAATGTTATACCCTGGTTTGTGCAATTTTTTTTATGTGCAAGTTGACAGAGGATTAAGTACAGTGTGTTGTATTATGTGTGTTGTATATTTCGATGATGAGTATAAGATATTGGAAAGATAAGATATTTTTTTCAGAGGAATTAAAATTTATATGAAACAAAATATTGAAGAAGTTTCATTGTGAATGTGTGTTGATGACAATTGTGGGTAGTGTGCTATTAGTGATGGATAAGATGCTTCTGTTGTGACATAGGTGATGTAGGGTATACTGCATAGCAGTGGGATGATGATGTGCATCAGATATGTATTTCTTGTGACATAATATTTAAGTAACTACGTATTGAGATAAGTGACAAATATGTGAGTGCAGTTGATACTAATGTGCAGATATGTGTTGTGATGATAAGAATAATCATGTAGTAATGTAAAATCTACAATTAATTGTGCAGTATTGGAGATGCATAATATTTGTAGTAATGTAATTAAAGGTGCATTATTGTGGCGGTCATGTGCATTAAATTTGTAATGTAGTGATGTTAGTATTGGTGTTCTTGAATACATTTTATTTAATAAAATGTGGTGTTACAGCGAAGTTGTTTTGTGCCATTCAATGAGGTAATAGTGAGTGTAGAGTGGGAGACTGAGTTGAGTTGATTTTGGTTTTGGGATGATGAAAGTGAAAGTTCATGTTGTGCACTTGAAAGATATATTATTGGAATATATGATTGAGTAATACTTAATTATATTGTGACATATAGTTACTAATGTGCATTTCATTCATTATTTGGTGTGACATATAGTGTGAAAGATGAATCTACTACTCAGATAAAATTATTGTCCAGGTTCCATTGATATCGGGGTTAAGCACGGGAAGCGAAAGATGGTACGTGATGCTGTAGTGGTTTCAGATATGCAAAAAAGGCCAAAACAGACTGCACAAGCCTGTGACCAAGTGCAAATGAAAGGTAAATTGTCAGTTTTAAACTAATGATTGAGATAAAAGAATGTTGAGGCATAGTAGAACTGTTATTAATAATAAAGGCTATGTTTACATAACTGATTGAAAGACTAATGGAGGTAATTTGAATTGACATGTGAAACAATATGAGGTGTTTGTGCATTAAATTTTTTTTTTTGAGTGGTAAGTACATTACGAGATATGAGTAATTGTGCAGGGCATGGTGAAGTGAGTGCTGATTTATTGCAAAAAAAAGGTAAATAGGCAGATTTGAAAATCATTTCAAGGAATTTCAAATGCTTCCAAAACATGTAATGACAATGCTTTATATGATTAAAAATGTTCAGGTAAGATGGTGGTGAAACAGGTGGAGTTCAAGAAGCGTACTAACCATGTGTATCTTAGTTGTACTAACGCTGCTAGTGCATCACAAAGTCCGCGTCGTAGTCCTCGCATTCAACGTAAAACAACACACACAACCGGGGATGCAGATAGTGCATCAAGTGCTGCACGTGTGTTACAAATGAATACACGAAAACAGGGGGGAAGTCACAACATTGATGCTGACCGTGGGGTTGATAGTGATGATGATTTCGAAGGGCCACCACTTCACGGGCAAGAGAGGGAGAATCCTGTGCTTAATGAAGAACCAAATGTGAAGAAACGAAAGAAGGGAAAGATTACGTTGATGAAAGAAGGGCTGCCAACACTTCAAACAAGATCATCACCTAATGTCATTGTCAGAGCAGTGAAGCAATTTAATGAGAAGCAAAAGGAGGATGTTGAAAGGATAGGGTTTGGAAGCGTGTTGACATGGGATATACCAGAAATACCATCCAAATTGGCACATTGGGTGGTACAATCTTTCAACCCGAAAAACTGCAAGCTGAAGATAAGTGACGACAATGTACAGATAAAAGAGGAGGATGTGCAGATTGTCCTTGGGTTTCCAAGAGGACCTAAAGAGATAATAAAGAAGAATAGATTATCAAAATGTGGTGTGCTAGATGAGTGGAGAGCCTTATTTGACAAGAGTGTGAATCAAATTACTCCTACAGATGTTTGCAAAGCAATGTTGGCGTGTACTGATGGAGGGATTTGGTTCATAAGACACTTCTTGGTGCTCCTCGTGTCCGTGGTAATAGATAGCTATCAAAATGGCTACGTCAACCATCAAATAATGAACAGTCTGGAATCTATTGAAGGAGTTAAAGAACTGAATTGGTGTGAATTTGTGATGTCCTCTTTAATTGAAAACAGAAAATCATGGGGGAGTAACAAGTGCAAGATCTTCACAGGGCCGGTGCTGTTTTTAATGGTGATGTGCAACTAGTTAATAATTTAATTAATATAATCATTAATAAAAAAATTCTTATATACTAACATATTTGAAATTGCAGCTGTTTTATGTGGACAGAGTGGTTGTCTACAAGAGGAAAGTACCGAGGACTGTTCCAGTAGTTGCTGGGTGGACGACAGCGTTGTTGAGGAAAAGAGAAAATTCAGAGGTAAAGTATGGGGGTTTTGGTGAGGGTTATGTGGATGAGCAGCTGAAAATTGATGAGAAGAACGGAATAAAAGAGATAGGAACAAAGCAAGGAGGAGAGAAGAAAGCGGTTAGAAGTGATGAAGGAAGAGGGATTGAGCAACCTCAGGCTTTTGAAGAGGTAATATTTGTGATATAGTTAATTTGATAACGAGAATTTAATGTGTTTAAAAACATAGTAAGTGTCTTCGTGTGATATATTTGACAGGATTTCATTGCAAAATTAGAGGCCAAAACAGACATGCTAGCTTCAATAGCAATTGAAATGGTCACTTTGATTGAAGCAGCACCAAGTCATGTTCGAGACAAAGGAAATGTGGGTAGAATCCTGGAAGCGGCGAAGGGAGTGATTGCATTAGCACAAAATCAGTCACAAGGCGAAACTGAGACGCCAAGGATGGGAAATGAAGATGTTGATGGCGATGAAGAATTTTGGTCCGATCCGAACAATATAGATGCATTAGTTGAGGCAGAGAAAGATGAGTTGAAGAGGGCTAGGTCTAAACGTGTGCTTGAAGATATTCCCAATTTTAGCTTGGGATTTACACAGACGCAACAAGATAATGGGGAGGGAAACATGACCGAACAAGTAGCTAATGTGGAGGGGAGCAAGAAAGGAAAGGAAGCTATTCTGGAGGGGAGCACAACAGAAGAAGAAGCTAATTTGGAGGGAAGCATGAAAGGAAAAGAAGCTATTGTGGAGGGGAGCATGACTAAAAAGGTTAAAAATAAAACAGTTAATTTATTTCTAGTGTGCATGTACTTGATTACTAACGTGCATTATTGAGAGTTATAGGTTAATGAAGGTGAATTGATTGTTGAAAGGGAGCATAAGAAGCAGGTACATTTACAGTGAATTATTTTTTGGTGAAATGTGCAATGCTAAAATGAAATGATTAATTTACAATTTAAACTTAAACAGGTGCACAAACTCAATCTGGAAGAAAGAGTGAAAAGAAAGTACAGAGCAGGGGTTTATCAAAAATCACCATTCGTCAACAGAGCAGTGGACCCGAGTGAAGCTATGACGGCGGAAGAGAAAGATGTTGTTTCGTGGATATTAATGGATCCAAATGGAGATAGGTAAATCCAAGTCTTTTTACAGTTATAAAATATACATGCCTATAATTTAAATCCAAAAGTAGTTATACGGACTTGTTTTATTAGTGACGAGGTAGTATTTAAAGACAAGGAATTCTGCGTTACAAAAGGTAATATGAGATGCATGAAAGGCAATGGTCATATTGAGAGTATTGTGTTAAGCACATGGGCAAAAGTTCTTAATAGGAGGGAAGAACACAGGAATGATGATTCACCGTGCCGTCTTTTCACAAAACCATTTCCTTGTGTAAGTCAAATACTTTGGAAATTCATACGTTATTTAAAAATGAACCCATAATGGTATGTGTTTAATAAAATTGCAGGTGCATACAACCGATGCCAAAAAAATGACATTAGACGAACAGTTTATGATGTTTGGAGAAGGAATAGAGGATGCATTGGAGGATATGAAAGATTTTGTTAATCTCAGTGACGTTGATATGGTTAGTTGGTTGATATTGATTCGGTATTTGTGTTAGAGTGTAATATTTATGTGTATTTCTATTTGTGCAGAGAGTAATTTGTCTGTGCATTATATTTTGTGTGCAGATATTTGTTCCAATTGTGCAGGAAACACACATGTATGTGATTGTTGTGAATCTGAAAGCCAAGAATATTGAAATTCTTGATAGTTCTCCTGCGAAAGGTGATAGATATGGAAAAATGGCTGAAGTCATAGTAAGTAATAACACATGTGTCACTGCATACTATTTTTTATGCAGATATTTGTTCCAATTGTGCATGAGACAAACATGTATGTGATAGATGTGAATCTGAAAACCAAGGATATTAAAATTCTTGATCCTCTTGAAATTATTTGTGCATTCTACTGTTTTCATTTCGGAGAAATACTATTGTTAATGAAATTGTACAATACTGCAGAGAGACATGGTGCTAGAGTATGTGAAATATGGCCCTTTAGAAGCAAAAGCTGCAATGCTAAAGAACGTAAAACCGAAAAGGTTGTTAATGTCATGGAGGGATGCAAAAAACACCGACGACTATGGAATATATTGCATGAGGCACATGGAAACATATAAAGGGGAAGGTGTTCAAGGCTGGGAGTGCGGGCTAAAAAAAAATGACAAGAGACAGATTGGATTACTGCGATTGAAGTACATTCCTGCTATGCTTTGTGCAGATGTGAACGTGCGAAAAACAGATGTGGTGATGCGTGCGCGTGAGTATGCGAGACAGAAGAAAGAAAAGAAGACATCAAAATGAAAAGAGCAGTTAATTAACTTAGAACACTTAAATGCTTAGGGGTACTGTTTAGTTATGTTTTTGAAGACATGATGCATAAGGATTTTTTCTTGGAAATGGTTTAGGGTAATATTTCACTTTCATTCTTATTTTGTGGTGCAAGTAAGATTGAGTAATTGACTGCTGAAATTATACCATGTTTTGGATTAGTTTTTGTGTTTGTTTTCAAATGCGTGGTATGTATGCTTTTTGAATATGGTTTATGATACAGACTTGTAGTGACGTTGATTACACAAATCAATTGTGTAATTTCATTGATTGGGTTAAAAACACTATTATCATTATGTGGACAGATGTAGGATTATAATGTGTAATGTTGACGATAGTAGTAATATAATATGTCAATATTTTATTGGAAGAGGTGGTATTATATTATTTTTTTATAACCAATAACATTAAGGTGGTGATGTGCATGAGTGAAATGTGGAAGTGCAATTGAATGATATTATATTGTGTAACAGGAGTGTGAACTACCTGACGGAATTTAAAAATAAATGTGCATTGTATTCATTAATCAGTGTAACAAAATCAAAGATCTGTAATTTGGTAATTATGACATGTAATACTGAGAATATAATTTATCCAAGAAATAATTTAAAGATTTACTCTGAAGTGCACACAAGGTTTTGTAATAGTAAGAAACGAATTTCTAGGAAGATCGAATAATTAAAATATAAAGAAACTAAAAGTGTTCAAATTTCTTAAATACACATGAATACGAAAGTATAAAAATGTCTTACACAACACTTATTGAAGTTTGTTTAAAGGACAATTTCTACTATCATGATTGCACATTTCGTTACATGACCTACACAATCTCTTCGGTCTCTTGTTTTCTTCAATGGATACCTCTCGTGCACCTTTAATCCTCCTTCCAGATCCTTTATTTTTGGCATTTTGAGGAGGCAACACAGTAACATCAGAAGGCCTACTTGCCCCATAAAAAGATTGGATCATGGAATCCTTAGTCGTAGGGAGTGGATCACTTTGGTCATATGATAGAAGTGCATGCTTTTCTTGACTAATCACAGATGCAAATTGTTTTAGTCTGCTTAGATCCTTTTCAGCTAGAGCAACACAAGAGTGCAAATCTGTCCAAACCTGTTGCATAATTTTTTTCTTCTCTTCAATTTCAGCACACTGTTGAACTAGAACATTTGGTATACCATGTAGCGGTCGTAGTAGACGCTTTTTACACCAACGATTAACAACATAGTGCTGAGGAATACAATTGAGCTTCGAGTCTTTGAAAGCCACAAACATATGTCTACACACCAACCCCAATCGAAGAAAGTATTTGCACTCGCAAGATGCTTTTGTATCGGAAACATTGAATTCTACCTTGAATATCATACCACGTTCATCTTGAATAACATAATCCAAATTACCGTCATGGTCATGCACACTAAGAACACGGCAATTAAAACAAGCAGATGCAATTTCATCTTGCACTAAATAAAATACTGTGAGAGTATACATCTCCGCAGCGTGCTTTTCAAGGGGTAGAGGGGTTTTAAAAACAGGAATATAGGACTCGGAACCTGAATTTAATTTATCATGATTATGGCGTTGAGCATCCATTGCACTTTCAAATTGCATGTAAAACTCAATGAGGCTGAAGTGAGGGTTAGTAAACTCACCAAAAAAATTATTCTCACTTTCAGATCTTGAAGTTGTTCGAAGCAAACATCCCAAGAACAAATTCCTAAAGTAAGACGGAATCCAAAACTTCCGAAGATTGAACAAGTCCACAAACCATTTGTGGTTCAACAAGTCAAAATCAGCCATAATAGAATTCCATTTAGCCTCAAACTCGGCGGGCTCTAAATAGTGACTCCACACAACACCATTAATTCTTGTCAAGAAATCAACATCCTTACTAAGCACAGGACCTACTTTACTTGTCAACTTGTTCATTATATGCCACATGCAATAACGATGTTTAACGTGAGGAATTACCTTTTCAATAGCAATGCGCATAGCTGGATCTTGATCCGTTATTACGCATGTTGGTTCACTGCCCATCGCATTGATAAATCGGGACAAAAGCCACACATAGGAGTCTACATCTTCTTTCGAAATTAACCCAGCAGCAAAAGTAACGCACTTTTGGTGATTGTCTGCACCGGTGAATGGCACAAAAACCATATTGTACCTACACAAGAATATAAATTTGAAATGCATCCTAATCAAACAAATGTGCAACAAGTACTGCCAAAAATAAGTGTTAAAACATACCTGTTTGTACTGAATGTTGAATCAAAAGAAACCACATCCCCAAAATAAGAAAAATTTTGTCTAGCCAACGGATCCGCCCAGAAAATCCTTGTCAGCTGATCACTCTCATCCACATCATAATCAAAGTAAAATGATGAACACACTTCAACCTTTCTAAATAACTTGTCAATCAACATTTGAGCGTCGACACCCTCAATGTATGCCTTCAAATCTCGTTTAAAGTTTTTGAAATCTACAGCAGTCGCACCAATATTGCTATATCCACCAACAGACTCTTTAAAGAGTTTATATGACTTCATCGGACCAATATTAGCTTTCGCACAATTGATAACAAATTTCTTGTGACCAAAATCAAGATTTCTATTGACCCTTAGAAATTGTTTGTGCATTTCATCGCACATACGATGAGTGTGATGCTCTTCAAACTTAGACACGGAGTAACCACTTGAACCACGAAATTTAAAGACTACACATGCTGTACAACCGTTTCTTGTAGATACACGACGCCTTCTATTGGAATCGTTGTCTAAGTTACACGGTTCTGAAGATGTGGGTACACTCAAATCAGGTTCATCATCTGATGTAGACGGATCATCAAGGGTTGAATTTTCCATGCATGAAGAAGGATTATTTTCCACGTTAACATTCTGAATTAAAGGATCACAATTAGGAATGGGACCTTCGTTCTGCACAACCGCATCAGGTTTAAAACCTTGACGACTGCAAACAACACGTTTTGACAAAACCGTACCATCTCTGTGCTTCCTCTGAGTAGTTAGGCGCGGAACAAAGCCACATATAGATGCATATTCCTTATAGAAGTCAATACCATGTTGTAAAGTTTTGAATACCTTACCAATAATGGGCTTACAATCACTATTGCATTCTGGAATCCAGTACTTCGTCATACCGGGAGATATCTGGCAAGTACTTGATTCTCCTACAGTTCCAACCACCACATCAGTAGTTGTGCATGAATTGTAAATAACATGTGCATAATATAACAAAAAAGGTGAAAGCAAAAGATGTAAAAAATACATTTTCATATAAAAGAAAAAATACGAACCCAACACTGGATACCGTGAAAACTTAAGCTCCATTAAAGTTTGAGATTACATAAATAAAATGTGTATCAGATAATAACAGCTGTGAACGTAACAAAAGTTAAAAATACAATATCATGTAAACGTTTAAAAAGCGATAACAACAATGAATAGAGAAAAAACTTAAGTTCCATAAAAGTTCGAGCTTTTGAATACGTGTGATTATTTCATACACGATTATGTAGAACACATAAATCACAATTTGTATAAGATGTGATGTAATACACTCACATAAAAGTAAAATATGAAATTAAGAACGTAAGTACCTGGTTCCATGTCCGAAACGGTGGTAGCGTAAATTTTTTAAACGGAAACTCGATGATGGTTCCCACAAATTGACGTAGAAGATGATGGAGGCCGGACAATATTAGCACGAAGAACAATCCATCGCAGTGAAAGAGGGAATGAAGACGATGATTATTAAAGGAAAGGTTTTTAAAAAGAAATAAATTTTCTTCTTTCCAATCCCAGACGTGCGTAGCACTGAAAAAACGGTAAGTGCAAAGAGAATAAAAACGGCAAGATCAATTCAACCGCCGGCAACTTGATATGACGTAATTGTCCCTTCTCACGCCTAATTTGATCGCACAAGCCTATTGATTTTGGATGGCGAGGATGTGTTCTCACGTACTCACATTAAGCCTCGTTCTCATTTGAACCAAAATCTATAGATATATATATATATATATATATATATATATATATATAGAGAGAGAGAGAGAGAGAGAGAGAGAGAGAAATCATCATGTCAGGCCGGCCTGACGGACTGCCCCGTCCGGCCGAGCCCGTTTGGGCACCTTCCCGGTGGAATTTTTTGATGAAATGTTTTGAGCATGTTCCTCGTCAAGTCTAGTTTGTCCATACCAAATTTCAGCTCAAAATTCGATCGGGAAGGTCGTCAAATGATTTTTGCAAGTTAACTGGTCCGGAATATGTATTTTCCGGACCAGTTAACTTGTAAAAATCATTTGACAACCTTCCCGATCGAATTTTGAGCTGAAATTTGGTATGGACAAACTAGACTTGATGAGGAACATGCTCAAAATATTTCATCAAAAAATTCCACCGGGAAGATGCCCACACGGGCTCGGCCGGACGGGGCAGCCCGTCAGGCCGGCCTGATGAGAAGAGCTCTCTCTCTCTCTCTCTCTCTCTCTCTCTCTCTATATATATATATATATATATATTGGGGTTTTCCTAATCAACCCCCTACCCTCTCCCTCAACCCCAAACCACCCCAAATCACCTCAAATGGCCCAAAATACCCAATCCAACCCAAAAACTTAAAAAAATTCAAAAAAAAAAAAACCGGCCCGGACCTGGCCCGAACCGGCCGGGCCGGTTCACCAAAATGAAGGCCCGAGCCCGGAACCGGTAGCCACCGGGCCGGGTCGAACCGAACCGCCCATGGGCCGGGCCGGGCTGGTTCAAACAGTGACCGGGCCGGGCCGGTTCCGGTTCGGGCCGCCCGGCCCGACTCCACCCCTAGTCTATATACTCTATCAGGTACCGTATTTGGTGTCGGTATACCATGAGAATGGTATAATGGTACCACGGTATAATTTAATAAAAGAAAGGTTGCTCATGTAAATGGAGTAGAATATTCATTTTGGATGGATGTAACACAACTTCCAATTAAATTAAATCACATTAATTTTTTATAGAAGGAACTACCTTATAGTATTAAGAAACGAGAATTGAGGTAATAACAAGGATGTTTTTACTTGTATTGAAAGTTTCTGGTTTGCTTAGATCTGGTCTGGTCTGAACTGGTCTTTTCTGGTTTCTGTGTATTTTATAACTATTCAAGTTTGATCTGGTCTGGTCTGGTTTGAATTGATTTGGTCTGGTTTGAATTGATTTGGTCTGGTCCAATCTGAGACTGAAAATAGTTCAAGTAAAAAAACTCTAAGACAAAATCTCTCATCATGATCAATTGATCACTAGCCCTCAAATCAGATTTTGAGTTTATCACCTTTCAAAAAGTAATATAACTCATTGATCCTATAATGGACTCAACTGAGCCAACACCGATCGAAAAAGACTCCTCACCGCTCACTCTAGTCCTCAAAGTTCTAAAAAAGAATGTATTTTAAAATTCTTGGTCGGGTTAAATGATTCTTACGCAAATCTTGGTAGTCAATTCTTATGCAAATTCCAATCTCAAATTTATCCCAAGTTTACCCTTTCTTACTTCAAGAAGAATTCCAACGCTCTTTGCAACACCTTTTTGATTCCATTACTCCGTTTAATGCACAACATATTACTAAAAACCTCCAAATAATTCTACTGCCCTTCTGGCTAAACCAAATGTTTTTACAGCTCGTTTGGTAATTTACGCATTAAAACTTTACATGCAAAGTGATTGCATGTAAAGTTTAGGGTTGTAAAATAATTTACATGTAAAATAGAAATACATCATTTTGTCATGTGTATAATCTATTTTTAAATTACATGTAAATTTTTAACATTGTTTGTTGTCAAATAAGTTTACATGTAAAATATTTAACAAAAAAACTACACCTCATCGACGGTTGACCAAATTAAACGTGCTAGATAACTTCTAGCAGAGAATGGCCTGTAAACTTCAACTTTGAGAATGATTAATCACTAAAAATTTGTGTGCAAACAGCTAGAAAGAACCAACAAACACAAGGTGTGTTGATAAGTTCGTATTTCAACACGCATTTGATGCGTGTTGAGATTGAGTTTTGTCACTTTTCCTAATTTATTTGCGTCACAAAGCATTTATTTAGCTCAAGTCACGGTTCACCGGGTTTGGTTTGCATTCGTTGAACAAAAGGAAGAATTCAGACCCGGCATCGGCATTTGAGCTTAAGTTGAGAAGATTCAAGATGTGTTCGAGAGATAGCGAGAGGCACCGGAGGTTCATGGGATGATTTAGAGGCATGATTCGAGGCTTGGAAGGTTAAAGATTGAAGATAGGATCGATCGGGAGCAATCGGGGAAGAAAAGAGCAAGAAAACGGTTCAAGAGCCCCGCAGGTGAATCTGAGAGCTAGAAGTCAAGAAGTCTGAACCACACTCCCCGCGGTTGAAACCGCACGCCCCGCGGTCCAGAACACCCGGGTGATTCTGAGGCGTACCGTGCGGTTGTCCGCACGCCGTGCAGGCGGAGTAAAAGTCGGTGGGACAGAAATTTTCGTGCGGTCTGCAGTTCGGTTATTTTTTTGGATTTTTTCTATTTAAAGGCCTGTTTTGCCCGTTTTTCATACCGGAGCTTAGAGAGATAAACCCTACTATGTTTTTTGAGAGCTTTTCAAGCCTTGTTCATCAAGATTGTGGGATTCTTTGTAAGTTCCATCTTTTTAATTAATGACAATTAATTCTTTTCATCCCAATTCTATTGTTAATTCAATTATGAGTTGTGAAAAGTTTTAATTAAGGATTAGGGATTGATGAAGGGGTTGGTCATGACGTATGACTAGTTTTTTATGGATTGATTGCATGAATTTTATTTAATTTGTGTTTGAATGATTTAATTAATTGATATCTCTTGTAACCTAGAATGACCATTAGTAGATGAGCCCTATGGAAGTTCTTGCAGGTCATATGGATTAAACTGACTCTACAATGTGTCTGTGTCCTACAAATTTCAAAACATTTAGGATTGAGGTAACTAGACACAACGTGATTAATGAAAGTCCAGTGGCATAGGGCTGAGGGCCACATGAAAGATGAGGTTCCCGTGAAAATTGATCAATCACATGTCCGTTGGGAGACAAATGAGTGGTCTAGGGTAGAGTTGTGCATGCGTCGTTTGGACAAAATGCTGCAACTTCTAAGCTTTTTTCTTAAATAATGCTAAATAAAAAATCATATACGAAATTAGGGTCGAGTTAAAACTGTTTACCAAAATACTATCGAATTAAATGGTCGGGCAAAATCAGCCGCAACGTACGTTCCTAGTTTAAGATATTTCTTAGTGGGGCCCAAGGATTTTAAAAAAAAAATTCTTTAAAGTGTTATAATGTTTTCTTTTTTGCTCCATTTTTTACAAAAAGTATCTCAAAATTAATAACTGTTTACGATCTTTCCAATGACACCAATATTGCATATATAAATTTTGAAAAAAAAGAAGGTTTATTAAACAACTTTCCTATTTTCCAACCTCGATACGGATTATTTTGTATTAAATAAAGAAATAATTTCTTGTGTATCATAATTTTAATATATTTTTCTTTAATTGTATTGCAGTATTCATGTATTTTAAAATTAAAACTTAAATAAAAAATGTAAGTCTCCTAAATGTTTCCTAGAATTTAGTATGTCGTTTCTTATATTTTTCATCAACATTTCATGTGAATTTGTTAGTAATCTAGTATGATAGTAAATACTAATTGTAAAATTTTCCCGAAAAACTAAGCATTAGTTTGGCCTAGTATCATACTATTTTGCGTCATTAAACGGCGTGGCACCGAATGGTTCTATCCTTAGAACATGATCGTACTGAATCATTAGAAATCACACATATACAATGTGAGTTTTAATAATTTATCAGATCGTTCCAAACCAAGCCTAACGCTAATAAAAGTGTACTCATAGTCAATATAGTCAAACTTTGTACACAATATTTATTTTAGTAAGGTTTTAGGCAAAACCAATAAATAAAAGAGAAACAATCAGTAATTATAGTCACTTGAGAAATTCTCGAAAATAGTACTAAAATATATATTATGGATAAAAATGTGACAAAATTGACTATGGGTACGTGTTCATATTCAATTTAATATAAAATTTATACAGAACTATAGTCACTAAAAATAATAAGTCACAATTTTGTTAAACTATTACTTGTGTTATTTTGATCACACATTAGAGATTATTTCTTTATTATTTTGTTACCTGGCCAATCTTAATTTTTTGAATCTGAATAGTTTAAATTAAAGAGGGATATTTTGGAGAATAAAAGAAACTCGCTTACATTTCATAGTATATATAACTCGCTTATGTCGGTATTATAACTAGAAGCGACAAGTTCCCATGAAATGTTGATGAAAAGTATAATCAACGACATACTAAATTCTAGGAAACATTTAGGAGGCTTACATTTTTGTCTTTAAGTTTTTTACATACATGAATACTGCAACACAATTAAGGAAAAATATATAGTAAAATTATGATACACAAGAAATTATTTCTTTATTTAATACAGAATAATCTATATCGAAGTTGGAAAATAGGAAAGTTGTTTAATAAACCTTCAATTTTTTTAAAAAACTTTTAATATATGCAATATTGGTGTCATATGAAAGATCCTAAAAAATTATGAATTCTGATATAATTTTTGTAAAAATTATTGGAGCAAAAATGAAAACATTATAACCTTTAAAAAACTGTTTTTTTTTTAATACTTGGTCCCCACTAACAATATTTCTTTAAGCTAAGAACTTACGCTTGAAGCTATACTTTTGAGAAGAAGTCGCCGAGTCATTTGG